TTTTTTTTTTTTAATTTGAGATGCTTCATATGTTTGGCTTTCGAACTAACTCTTTGCACAGTCCGAACGCACGCTTTAACACCAGTTTTTTCCTTTATTTTGGCAGCTGAGTCGTGGAAATTAGATACGTGTCGTCGTATGATTCGCTTGTCAGCTGCTGTTATTACTGATGATGGCCGACCTTTCATGTTTTCTCATATGTATCCTCATTGCTTAAATGTGCGGTAATAACTTTACGGCTGGGCTTAATATTTTTTGATATTTGAAGAATAGAGTGCCCGCACTCCATGTAAGCCTTTATTTTGCCTTTTTCAGACACGGTTTTCCTTTGCCCATTATTACCTTATTTTATTGATAATTAGTCCCAATAAATAAATAATAAACTTGAACACCCAATCAAGGAAGCTTACACGCAAAAAGTGACAAGAAAGCGAAAATGTGCTAATCAGGTGTCGCAAAAACATAACGTTTGTCAAATCGACCTTGAAGAAGTTATAGGAAAATCGTTCTACGAGCTGACGGGCTATGTCGCCATGCATTCCTGGCATCTGTTGGCTCAAATGATCGGAATCCTTCTTGCAGGCGAGTCTTACAACGTAACGGAATTTCGCCCCTGTTTTATGTATTGAGTAGATTTGTTCTTCTTTACTAGTGTATGCGATTATAGCGGTATTCGTCTCTTCTTTTCGTAATTGACGCCAATTGGATATACCAAGTACAGGGTGGGGATGACGAGGGACTTGTAGAGTTTGATTTTTGTTCGTCGAGAGAGGATTTTACTTTTTAATTGCTTATTTAGTCCAAAGTAACGCAAAATGCTAAGAATTATTCTGCGTTATATTTCTAGACTGACATTGTTGTTGCTGTTCAGACCTGCAAAGATCTGGCGGACCAGTAAATAGCTGCGCTAATTCAATGGGATTTAGCGTTAAGACCAATAAGACAGATATATATCTATTCACAAGAAAGAATAAAATTAAAAATTGGATTACACCAAGTGTTTACTAACAGTTTTGGTTATCAAGTTGTGGTTGAAGATCAATGTGCAGAAGTTCGTGAGGAAGTAATCTGGAGCTCTTTATACATGTAAAAGGGTCTTGGATTTCACCTGATGCTTTTAAGCAAATCTTTAGCAAATGCAAAGAGACAAGAAGTTCAGAATGTGAGCCCCCAAAACGCTAATTTAAATTTGCTAAGAGAGCAGCCATGTTTATTTAGGGGGGACACTGTGGTATAATCTATGTGGGAGTCCTTGCAGAGTCAACCGAATATAAAAAAATATTTTTCGGCTGTCATTCATCTTCTCGATAACTTGTCAGTGGTCGCAATAAACTAACTCAACTAGAGACGATTACGAATGACTAATGATTTTTCATAAAGAGTCTTTATTTAATGTCAGAAATACACTCGGATGGGTTGACATATACAAGTTTCCTCAATTTTCTATTAATTATCGGTAATGGGTTGATTGAAATCAAAGTATCAACACCATCTAGTGATAAAAACCGCGGAAATTTTTTGTATAACTTAAAAATCAGGTGTAAAATAAATTCATATTGACGCATAAAGAGCTTAATAAATGGAATAGTCAACGGTGTATCCTATCTTTTGACAAAAAAAAAAAACTCATATCAAATTTTAAGAGCAGCGGAGCCATTTGGACTTCATCTAAAAATGACGATTTATTTTAGCATCCTTTATGTTATAAATTTTTTTATTTATTCTTTATTAACGTATAACAATAACTATATTTTTTAAACTTCATAGGCACGTTTTTAAGAATAAAAAAGATTTGTACAAATTCTTGAAAATATTATCAATAAAACCGAAAAATTTTATATCACTATAACTAATTTACATATGAATGTACGTATTTTAAGTTCCATGTAAATTTGGATGGTGTCCGCTATTGTTGTAAACAGCCTTTGCAACTTCGTCCTGCAATGTTGATGGGGGATCGGACAAAATATCGGTTTTCATTGACAAGTACTTTAATTTATTAGAAACCGCTGTATAAAATATAAATTGAAATAATATAGAAATTATTATTAATAGGACATGTTTCAAAACTTTCAATTATTCATTTCAGTCAAATTAAACAATAAATTCTTACTGAAGAAGAATTGACGCTATTTAAAAACTTTGTATAATAAAATACGACCCGCTTCGCAGGATAGCGACAAACCGTGATTCATAATGCTTTTAATTTCGTTATATATTACATATGTATATATATCGCTCTTTTTAATTCCAAACAACCAATAAAAAAGTGTCGCCTAAGACTGCACAGGAAAAAAAAATATATATAAAAAATTCCCATATATCTTCAAAATGGGCCGAATCTGTCTCTTTGAGTTCATTACCGGTGGTAAATATTTTTACTCTGACTTCATTTTCCATATTTGCAAAGAAGTAATAATTAGGGACCTGCAACCGCACCGCGACTCTTATAAACCGGCGCGTTGCCATGCAAAAGCATCACCCCCGACTTTCTTATTCTCCAGTTATAGAAACAACTTTTTTCTTTATAATGGAAGACCGTTAACATGAGTTTTCTGACTATGACACCAAACCTTATTGGGAGCCAGTGCAAAAATACACATGAACTACAAGCTGTTATTTTTGTGGATGCGTGAGATTTCTCGAGAACCCATCTTGCACTAGCCGTAGTCATGACAAGCTGATCGTGCAGGTTTTTAAAAATGGTTATATCGGATAGTCCAAACATGTCTGCGAGTTGTTTCTTATTTGGATAAGTTCTGGCGTGGTCACCTCGATGCTTCTGCCCGCCCTGGGTCCGTGTTCAAGAGATTCCCTTCTTTGTATAAATAAACAAGTGGCCCATATACAGCATGGTTTTTCTCGAACAAGAGTAGCCATAAATTAATGACTTCTTACTCATTATGATCGGAACTGATTTTCTATACTTAGTGATGAGCTGAAATACGTTACGTTCCTAATGAACCTATTCAACCGCCTATACAACCCTCTCATTTCGGCAAATAAAGATTATTATATGCTGCTACGAACCTGGTCGCAAATCAATCAACGAACAATGCTGATCAACCCATAAAAACGCAGTGCGTCGTAATTCCTCTAGACTGGCACTTGACACTGATGCAGTATAAGATGACAACAGTGGTTCCAATATAAGTCCCAACTGTGAATAGACAAAAATTTAATTTTCATAAATACACTTTCATGCGCTTGTTATACGCTTACAATCCAAAACTTCCAGTCTTGCATTGTACGATGGCGTACATATTGATCATACAACTGCCGAACATGTTCCGTACCCTGACGTGTTACAGGTGCACCATTCGCTGGAAGGATTGAATGCAAATGTCTGTAAAAGAACAACATGAGAGAGTTTACCAAAATACATAAGACCAGTAAATATAAGCAACATGCAACCTTTTTTTATAACTTACGTAAGCGAGTTATTAAGTATATCCCTCTCTTTTAACAATGCTTCCATGTGATCGTTCAATTGGTTGCGTTCAGCACGCAAATGTTTTATATGATCCGCGCCTTTTTGCAGCATTGCTGCTTTACTTAACTGAAAAATTGAAAGAAATCGTTGCTTAGCTACATATTATTGTATATGCTTATAAAAGCAGTAACTTTGAATAAAGCCTGATTACCTTAGCATTGGGATTCTGTTGCAATTGCGGTATAAGTGAATGCAATAAATCAAAGCCGTTTTTAATATTGTATCGTCGCTTTTGCTCCGCATGAATGTGCCCGGCGCGCCTTTGATTCTCCCTGGGAAACTTCAAGCTATGTGTTGGCGAGAGCGGTGAGTCTTGATCATGAAATGATTCTGGTGATAAACTCATCGTATTAGTGCACATTGCTGCCTGACTGGCCGTTGGTGGATAGCTCATCATCTAATAAATATTTACTCAAAATTTAATTGCTTTCTTTACGTTTTAGTTTGATTTGGTACCTTACTACCAGGAGGACTATGCAACATCGGAGGTGCTGCCGGTGTTGGCAGTGAAGTAGATTTTTTTGGTGATTTCTGTAGCTGTTCTTGATGCATATGCATCCCATGGCGAGTGTATGTTGCCTCCGCCGGCGTTCCTGCTGTTGTGCTTATTGTGCATTGAACATTGGAAGTTGTAAAATAATTGGCGGTGGTGGGTGTATTGCCAATATTTTGGGATTTATTTGCATTTACAGATACAGCCGAAGATGCCGGCGGTGGTACAACAACAGCTGGCATTGGCATGGCATCCATAGGTACGTTTAAATTAGATATGGCACTTGAGGAAGAACTTTGTTTTTTAAGCAACGACCGGGAGTCTAGAAGAAAGAAATTCATTTATTATTGTTTAAGCTAAATTACTATAGATTATTACATTCACAAATAGTTTCATTATCTAGAATTCGGTAGGGATAGCTCGTCAAAAAGACCGAAACAAAGAAGTTCCAAATATTAAATTTGAAAATGAAATTAATATTTAAAGAGGTCAAAATACGCAAAATTTAATACTTCAAAAAAAAAAAAAACGAAAGATTATTGTTAGCAATATTAAATACAAGTTCTATTCTTAAAAATCTAGTTTTACTGCAACTGAAAACGGAACAAAAACGGTTGCATATAAAAAATGACTTTAAATTAGTTTATTTACATTCTCTTATAAACGCTTCTGTTGACTAAATATTGTGAAACTTTTTATGATATGCCGCTAATCAATAATAATATATAATTTAGCTTTCGAATCAGCATTAACTTACTAGTTGTCAGAAGTTGCGCTAAGGTACTATTATTCAGCATGGGATCGCTGGTGGCAGACTGTAACTGTGGCGCCACCATGAGACTATTACTTTTTGCACTGTTCGCCTTGTTAGCACCGTTTGGTGCTACAATTGTATGTTGGTGTATGGAGTTACTACGCGAACGTGGTTTATTATTTTTCGCTTGATATTTTGGTACAGCGAAATTGTCGTGGCTGGAGCGTGATTCCAGTTTCTGTAGTGTTACATTAAGTGGCAAACTATTTGATCTAAACATTTCGCGCGGCATAATGTTAACTGCCGTTTGTTGCTGTTGCTGACTAAGCTGCTGCATTTGATGCTGTTGTTGTGTTGTCAGAAGATGCTGACTTGCTTGTTGTTGTTGTTGGTGTTGATGACTAGAAGAAGGTGATAGTTGGCATTGTGATTGTACCTGTAATTGTAGAGGGCTGGGCAAAGCGGACACCTGACAGCCTAAATTAAGTGGCAGCGATTGTTGATGCACATGTTGTGCAGTAGACGACTGATCATGCATATAAGGTGAATTTGTATTGACACGCATATTTATGTAGCCACCAGTGGAAGCGGATTTTTTAAAATTACTCACACTTGGGTAAGGTTTGTATGCATTTGAATTATTATTACTACTTAAATTTGTATTAACGCCGCCATACGCATCATTTGAAGTGTTTAAATTATACATGGATAACACATCGGCTGAAGGCGGCTCGGTTTTTACCGTTTGTAACATCATTGATGTGTTTGTAGAATTATTGGTATTGATTTGGGGTGCGCTGGAGAGACAATTTGTGGTTGTTTGTATTATTGCATAACCCTTGGGCTTTGGGTTTATCATAGAAACATTAAGTAGATTATTGTTAATGTTAAGGCCACTATTAGAAGACGATGAAACATCAACATTGCCATAGGCACCGTATACAGTGCCACTTCCCGTACCACTTGATCCACTTATAAGTGAAGTTGGGGTTGCATATTGTGTGGGCGTTGATTGCAGTTGCTGCTGCTGCTGTTGTTGTTGGTGCGCATGGTATGCCATTGCTTGATGCTGCAAGCCAGTACAAGGTAAGGAAGGCTGCAAATGTTGATTTTGTTGGCTCTTTTGGTGTTCTGCCAACATTTGCTGATATATGGTTGTTTGATGCAGCGTAGGCTGAGCTTTATCGTAGTTATGTGGCTCACGTCTATAAAGAATATAATATATGATTATATATTTAGCTTATAAGATATTGAAATCTATACATACCTAAATGGTCGTTGGTTCTTTGAAATACGACCTTTCATCACGCTTTTGCTTGGAAATTCGTTACTTGAGGATCGGTTGTTCGAGACACCATCGTTTGTAGTGGGGAAATGTTTAGAGTGCAAGCGCATAGCAGACGAATCTGAGGTAGAGGCAGGAGATCCCATGCTTTCATTAACACCTACTGCAGAGGAACGATTCTCAGACATTATTGTATCCACAGAGTTAATTTCATGCGTTTGATTAGATCCTGATGTATTCAATAACTGACTGCCACTATTTTCACGCGACAACGGTGCCGGATAACGTTGGGCCATCGCTGATTCAAATTGAATCGTTTCAAGCGGTGCGTTCAAGTCCAACATATTAGCATCATCGCTAACCGTTAGTGCATTCGAGGTATTTCCACCAACACCGACCATATTGTTCGTCGCTAACTGATCGGAACCTAATACAAACATATGGTTTAACTGAGTATATTGAGCATAAGATAATTTTTTAAATACCCATAATTGCGGATAGATTATATTCCACATTTTTAAGCATTTCGTCAGTGCCTTCCTCTGGCACTGGCGGCAAACGAGTTGGCTGTAGCAGCTCTGCGAAGAATAAAGCTTTGGGATAAATACTTAGGAATTAATTGTTATAATTGTATATTATACATGCTTACCATCAAATGTTAGATCAATATCGTCGATATTAGGTTGCAGAGATCCCAGTCCTGGCTGTATAAAATCGGCTATACCCGCACCTCTTGCTAAAGACATAATATAAGGATTAGTTAATTGTTAATGGTGCTACTATACGCTTTTAGAAACTTGCCTATTTCTCGTGGATCCGGAAATGGGAACGGTCCATTAATCGAAGAGAATAGTGTATCATTTGTCCAATCGTCTGGTATCATCAACATACGATCGTTTAACGGTGACCATTCTAAGAAATCGAATTCGCTTTTCTGTAAAGAAAAAAATTCTTATTGCAATATTGCATCTGCATATGTACGAATATATATACTTATATACTAGGGTTGTACTATTTTATATACATGTGTATTTATCTAAAGCTTTATCGCTTCGATGCATAGTAGATTTTATTAACACACATATATTTAATTTTTTCCAAAGCTGCATGGTAACGATAAATTTCACGTTAGTGGTAATATTTTTGCCGTTTCGGTTGAAATAACAGATAATGTTAAACGTTAAAATTGAAGTATGCTGTTAAATCATAGAAAGCAGCCATTTTAAAATTAACGTCGACGATGAGTTTTGCGCTTTTCAACGTTAACGATTTCATTTCGTTTTGATGACAGAGCGCCGAAACGTAACAATTTCATTTCGTTGAGTTAGTTTTTCTTGTTAGTGAAACCGAATGACATTGCTGCATCTCTAAGATTTATTTCTATATAACATATATTATATATGAAATATCAATAAAAAAGTCCGTTTTTGATCTTATATCTAAATAAATCTGCACACTCGCGTACTAAGTTTAGTTTAAACAGTTTGCCTTTCACAAATAAGGAAAAACGAAATTTAATTCATTATCTCAACAAAAGTTATTTGCTACTATAAAATATCTCCTTAAAAAAATAAACGGCGAAATAAAAACTCAGGATGTAAAAAAAAAAAATTACTTTGCAACAGCTTTTCCACAGAAGGAAGCTTTCTGGAAAGAACTTCATATGAGAAATATAAGGCTGTCAAATATCTCCCTTCCGCTTTTTTGCTCTGGACAGGACAGGAACAGGTGGTAATCACTTGGCGCTACGTTCGGACTATATGGTGGATGCGATAAAACCACCCATCCGAGATGCCGTAGCTTCTTACGTGTCATCAACGAAGTGTGTGGTCTGGCGTTGTCCTGGTGGAACACTACACCCTTCTTGTTGGCCAATTCTGGACGCTTCTGGTCGATCGCCTGCTTCAAGCAGTCCAGTTGTAGAATTAAGCGTCTGGCCAGTTGGGAGCAGCTCATAGTGGATGATTCCCTTCCAATCCCACCAAGCATACAGCAAAACCTTCCTGGCCGTTAATCCCGGCCTGGCCACTGTTTGGGACGATTCACCAGCCTTCGACCACGACCGTTTTCGCTTGATATTGTCGTATGTGATCCATTTTTCGTCGCCAGTCACCATCCGCTTCAAGAATGGGTCGAGTTCGTTCCATTTCAGCAGCATATCGCAGGCGTTGATTTGGTTCAGAAGGTTTTTTTGCGTCAAATTATGCGGCACCCAAACATCAAACTTTTTTCAAATTGTTCAAAATGGTTTGGTGACTAAATCCCATCTCCTGGGCAATGTCACGAGATGCCATATGCCGGTCTAACACTATGTATTCCATGATTTGATTGGTATTTGTCGTCATTGGTCTTCCGCCGGCTGGCTTATCCATGGTGTCGTTTTCACCGGCTCTGAATCGTCGAAACCATTTCCCCGCGGTTCGAAGTGATAGAGTACCATCATCCAAAACACCACTAATCTCGCGGAACGTTTCTTTAGCGGATTTGCCTTTAACGAAGGAAAACTTGAAAATAGCGCGAATTTCGGCGTTAGTGAACTCCATGTTTACACGTCTATAACTGTTGAACGCAATATCCAAACTAATCATGCATAGCGTTGTTTTGTAGGTTATGTCAAGACCTTTCAAATTATGTATAGTGTTGCCAGATACGAGCTCTGTAGCGCTTTGTATTGTACATAGCCGCGAAATTCAAAAGATAAAAAAGCGGAAGGGAGATATTTGTAACTTGGCTTATGAGAAAGACATAAGCTATAACGCTTAACGAAATTAGGAGGGTAAGATTTTTTTCTCTCCCAAAGAAGGCAGTTCACTGAGTTTTCCCTGAACAGGGTTCAGTAAAAATTAGCCAGCAATTTGTACAACTGTTGTTTACTTTGGCGGTTGACTTTGAATCCGTTTATTTACATTTTGGTAAAGATCAAGACGTATACCACCAATTAGAGGAGAACTCGGCCGAAAACTACTTCAGTGGTTACAAAGCGCCATTTATTTATTATTATTATATGCAGCTTGTGAAAATTTATCCAATTTCTTCTGGTTCTGGTCAATATAACAAATGCAACAAAAACCTTTTCTTGGAAATGTTCCAAAAATATCGCAGGTTTCAATAGACCTCTTTACTTAAACTTATTTATTGTTTATTAGCTCACACCACTATTTTATTTCTTCTTGCAATATTTATGAATGCTTTTCGCACTGTTTTGCAGATACACAAATGGTCACATACATATTGGGGCCTACCGAGATGGGTACTGTTCTTACAGCAATATCACATAGTATTGCCGCGAAAGCATCACCGTATTCATCATGTAGCACCGCATGAGACGTATTTCTGTATAACCACAGGCTGGTTAAATTGGCCGTTGGAGAAAATAAGGTGTGTAAATATTATATTTTGAAAAATATTAAACTGCATACAAAATAGCCGATCTTTATTCGGGTCTAAATTATTCTACTAGTAATCCAGAAAGTTATTAGTTCTAAAACCCAATAAGATCATTTTATGCAGTTTTTCTCCGTCTTGTTTGACACTGTTTACGCAAGTTAATAATAGCACCCAAGGGATACAAAGTGAAACCAGATCGTTCTGCATCTGCGAGTACTTCCGAGTTTCTTGCGCCGTTGAGTACAACGTCGAAAACATTCACAGCCGGTGTATTTTCCTTCACTGCATAACTTTTTGTACAATCTTTTCAACTTTCTGTTTTGTGCGAATATTTGTCACATCTGATGTCTACATTAACTGAAGAGGATTTAATATTCACCAGGTTCCAGCTTAAAATTGCATTTTTTTATACCCAACTATTGAAAGTGGCATATTACGAATGACATCCGAAAAGAGAAACGAAATCGATTAGGAGATCCCAACTATAAACACAAATGTTATGTCCCCCCTTTTTACATGCATCAAGTCTTGAAAGCCATTTTTTTGCATTCTCTTTTGTGTTTTCAATTTGCTTTCACACTTGCTCTACTTGCATGTACGAGGTATCTGTACCCTTCCCCTTTATTCTCACCTCCCTCCAGCAGATTTGTAAGCAAGACTTGAGGCATGTGAAAGGGGAATATGTTTGCCTACGTTAAAAGCCCACTTTGAGAATTTATCGATTTAATAAATTTAATATCGATTTTAAATTTCCTATAATTAATGATAACTATTAATGAGAAAATAAAATTTACCTACAAGTATGTAACACATAAAATTTTATTTCTTCAATTAATATTTTTGTTACAAAATAAATTCTAATTCCAACAAAAAGAGCAATCACTAAATTAGTACCAAAGTCATCGCAACCCAAAATTTATTTCCCATTGGTGTACGATAATTAAAAGCAAAATATTTTAAGAACCTATTCACTAAAAGTTGAACAAACGAAATCCACGGTTCGAGCTTAAGGCTCCAGAGCTATTGGGTTGCCCAAAAAGTAATTGCGGATTTTTCATACAGTCGGCGTTGACAAATTTTTTTCAACGGCTTGTGACTCTGTAATTGCATTCTTTCTTCTGTCAGTTATCAGCTGTTACTTTTAGCTTGCTTTAGAAAAAAAGTGCGCGAAATTTTGTTTACATTTGTTTGTTTGGCGTCAATTTTAATATGGAGCCCACAAAGGAGCATTTTCGTCATATTTTAGTTTATTATTTCCCCGTCCGTCTCAGTGACG